GATCAACAATCCCAAGGAACCCAGGGAAACTATCTTAACAGAGAAAATTTCCACATGAATGAGGATGACCAGAGCCAAGGCTCACAGGGAAGACGCAGTGAGCCAGCCTTCCATCCAATCCAGAGTGATGGGCAGCCCCAAAGAAGAGAACAGAGTGGAGGTCACCCCACCAAGGCAGCCATTGCTTCTAACCCACTCTATGACTATGTACAAGAGCAGAAATCATATCAGTACTAGGTTATGTGAGCACCAGAGCTAAAGCAACATGAAGCCAAGGTAGAAACCTACATGCCAAGTTCATCTTTCCTTCTGAGTAAGAATGGAAAATGTATATCCTTCCTCTATCCTCTATCTACCCACAAGGATGCTTTTGGGGACTGTTATTCACTTTTAGGGCCTTTCAGTTCTTTCAGCAGCAATTCTCAGGTTTTCTAGTTGGGTGAAATCTAAGTGGCCAATTGGGTGAAATAATCAGTTTTTAATTTTAATCAGCTTGGGGATTTAAATCATTTCCTGGTTTGCCATCTGTGCAGGTGTGACTTGGTGGGATCACTGAAGAGTAGAATACTTCTGCCTGAAGTTTAGAAACAGGAAATGTATTCTGAAGATTCACATTACAACTGAGGAGAGGAAACCTGGGGTTTTAGTGAGCTTTGGCTCCTGTGAATAAAACATCTGGAATTGCAAGCCTTGTGGTCTAGACTAGAATGAAACACAGCGAGAGGCTGCTAGAGAGCCAGAGACCACAGATGAAATCTCTGAAGTTGACAATGTCTCTCACGCCCAGGCTCCTACTCCTTACCAGAGGGACTCTCCATTGAGCATCTTTCACTAGCGCTCACTGGACCTGGTCCAACTCGATGCCTTTCTAGTTCCTCATTATATAAAGTAGAGAGAAAGCATATGTCACATGTTTGCAGATTAGAAGAAGCCAAAACTGTCAATCCATAGCCCCCTAGGCCTGAAAACCCTTCTCAAGAAAATCTATGTGCAGACTATGGAATTGTATTAAAATGCCCAATAAATGATTGGTGAGCAATAATTTTAGTGACTCTTTTCCTTCTTCACCGTGGGACTGTGCTATCTTGACTTATGGGCCATTTTCCAAGAATAAGACTTAATTTCTTGACTCCTAAAATCTTTTTTTGTTCCCTGAGTTCCCAGGAACTAAAAATAAATAAATAAATAAGAATTAATATGAAACAAATAAGAGTTAAAATGGAACTTACCTAAATATAATTTTCAGCTCTCCCCCAACACCATACCAAGGAATCATGTCTGGCCCTTGCTACTCATTCACCACATACGAACGGTCATTAAGTCTGGCCAACTCTACACCCTCCACAATTCTTGAGTCTCTTCTCACATCTCCATCTCCACTGCCTTAACTCCCTTTCTCCTCAGTGGCTCCCCAGTAACTTTAGAATAGAGCTCACATTCCTTTGCATGGCACACATTCCTTAGCTATCTAACGCAGATGACCTACTCAGTCTAATCTCATGAAAGGCATTTCCCAGGAACATCCAATGCTCCAGCCATGCCGAGGAGCTCCAAAACATGCTCCAAAGCCATGTTGGCCTTTTCTTAGTACAACATGGTCTTTCATGAATTCTCCCTGCCATTTACTGCCTGGCAAAAACCTAGGCATCTTCTGAGTCCCAACTAAAACATCACCTCTTCAGGGCACCCTTCCTGAACACTTCAAGTGAAGTGAACTCCTTTCTCTAAGTTCCCACTCACTTCTGCTATATCATTTGGCCCACTCTCTATTGTAATTATCTCCCCTCCCAGAAAGAGAATAGACCATATTTTACTCAACTTTGTACTGCTCAGCACTTAGTACAGCCACTGATGCCTAGTGGCACTCATTGATTGTTGAATAGATGGGCAGATGGAGAAAATCAGTATGTCTTCAGAATAAATTCAACTGAACATTTATTGGGCATCTACTGCATATAAAATACAAGAACAGACAAGATAGACTGAATGAACCCCTCATTTAGTCAGGGTTCAATGAATGAAACAGTAACTTTATTAGGTATTTTAAACAATAAAGTATTTAATGACTAGAATGATGAGGGCTGAATTATTAGAAATTAGCAAGTGACCCCTGGAACTGCTGAGTTTAATACATTACCAAAGCTGTAATCCAGGAATCAGAAACTTGGGATCCAGAAGCTGCTGGTATTGCTACCAAAATTGCCTTGTCAGCATCAATGTTTCTATAACCTGTTTCCCAAAAGGAATAGCCAAAATCACAGTGTGATGGCCTCCAAATCACTCTCACCTTCCAAATATGCAAACATACCCAACTGGAAAATCATTAATTCACATCCAGAACTCTAGCTGCAAGGAAGTCTAGGAAATATAAAAGGAGATAGGAAAGGATGCTGAGAGCCATCAGATTATATTCACCATAGGAAGAATGAAACAACTCATAACAAAATCCCCTTTTCTCAGGAAGATTAAAATATAGTAAGAAAGATATATACAGCAAGCAGCCATTACACAAAGCATAAGAAAACTGCTGTTATGACACCAAGAAGGGAGTAGATGCTGTGCCTGGAAGGATTAAGAAAGGCTTTCACAGAAGGAGGCATCTAAGCTAGGACCATGATCCTGGTGGGAAGGGGAATGAGAAGGGCCATGGCTGTCCTGGGCCTCAAGATCAATGCAATGTCCACATTCCGGCTGCTGTTTAAATGGCATATTTCTTCAGGAGTAAGACGAGTCTTCTTCACAAGTTTTCTCTATATCTTAGACCCTCCCCAGCAGAGTGGAGCATAGGGGTGAGAAGGCTCAAAAATCTGCAAGCTGCTCAGGGTTCACAGAGACATTGAGTGGATCATCTACACTGCTCAATGTAAACCACATCATGTCACTCCTTGCTTGAAATTCTCAGTAGTTTCCCTCCATACTGAGAGTAAAATCCAACATCCTTCCCAGGGCCTTTCTACAGAAGAGGGCCCACCAGACCTCATCTTTCACCACTTTCCTCTGCATTCACTGTTTTCCAATCACTCTGGCCTTCTTTCCACGATTCTAGCAAGACGAGTTGGTTCCCACCTGAAGACCTTTGAACCAGCTGTTTCTTTTGTTCAGAAGAGCTCCCTAATCTTTATGTGGCTGGCTCCTTATTTCATTCAGGTCTCAGCAAAAAAGTCCCCTCAGCAGAGAAACTTTCTCTGACATTTCATCTAAATGAAAATGTATCCTCCCATCACTCTCTACCACAGACTCCTTCTTCTTATTGTTTTTCTTGGCATTTTTCATATTTAATGTCTTGTTTTTATATTACTCATTTATTATCTTTTTCTTCCTACTGGAATGCAAGGCTCATAAGGACAAGGATTTTGGTCTTATTTGCTACTGTACCCTCTGCATCTAGAACATAGCCTAAGATACATGCCCAATAAATATGTGTTGATTGAATGCTCATAGAATCTGTTAACCTAAAAGAAACTGAAGTCGAACGTATAAAGCATAGCATTTATTGAGCTGATATGACAACTGCAACCGGGGAAGCACATAGGTCAGGTCACCCTGAGAAATGTGCCCTGAAGGGGTCTGGTAGAGATCAGCACTGTATGATCACAAGAAGAGGGAAGAATCGAAGAAGAGAGAGAAGAGAACAGCCCTGCCTAACTACCTCATCAGCTCTTCTATTGGTTGTACATGACGTACAGATTTGGGATTGTTACTAGCTTAAATCCTGAATGCAGGAATCTAGGACAAGGTTGGCAAGAAGCATTTTAGGTTATTTCATGACTTTCTGGTGCCATTGCATCTGCTTCTAAGTAAAAATGGTCTCGTGATAACGCTTTCCAGGACAGGTGGACGTGACTACTGACTTATCTCAGACCCCCTAAGGTACTATAATTTAGCTGACCTGGTCAGAGCAGATTTTTTTGTCATCCAGGCCCTCCATGATCTGGCTTTAGTGTACATTTCCAACCCATTTCCCACAATGCCCCTAGATTGCAATCTAACTGGACAACTTCCCAGTCTCCATACCTTTGCTTATACCATTTCCTCCATTTAAATGCTCTCTGATCTTTGTCTGCCAAAGTCCTACCCATTCTACTGACTAGCAGCACCTTCTGGACCTATCATCTGTATAGAAGTTATTACATTGCACTGAAATCAATTTTTTTTTTT